ATAGCCTCATTAAACATGTTTCCGAAGAGGATATTTGGAAAGTTGTGAAAAGTATTTATGATCACAAAGCTCCTGCTGATGATGGCTATAGTGCCAAATTTTTCAAAAGAAGCTGGAAGGTCATTAAAGTGGATGTGATTCATGTTGTGCAAGAGTTATTCAATCATAAAAGAATGTATGCAACTATAAACTGTTCCTTGGTTATCCTTACTTCTAAGTCTAAAGAAGCCAAGACAGTTAAAGACCTCAGGCCCATAGCTTGCCGCTCAACTCTTTATAAAATTATCTCCAACATCCTTACTAAAAGGTTGAGCAAAGTGATTGGTGAAGTAGTGGATGATAGCCAATTTGCCTTTATTCCTGGCAGAAGTATTCAGGATAACATTGTCATTGCTCATGAGCTGATAAATGGCTATAATAGAAAGCACTTATCTCCTAGATGTACAGTGCAAATGGATGTGCAAAAGGCTTATGATATTATGGATTGGAAGGCTTTAGAGCAAATCATGCATGAAATTAATTTTCCAGGTGAGTTTATTGACTAGATAATGATTTGTATCAGCACTGTTTCCTACAAGTACTCTATAAATGGGCATATCAGTAAAATCTTAAAGGCAAAAGGGGGGATTAGACAGGGAGATCCCATATTCCCCTTATTGTTTGTGTTGGTTATGAAGTACTTACACAAATGTATGAGCAAAGTGCACAACAACCCTAACTACAAGTTTCATCCTAAATGTGAAAGACGGAAAATCACAAATATCTGCTTTGCAGATGATTTACTTTTATTTTCTAGAGGTGATGAGCAGTCTATGTAGCAAATGATGAAAATCTTTAAAATTTTCTCTGACTCTACAGGTATGCAAGCAAATCCTAAAAAGTGCAAGGTTTACTTTAGTGGTGTTCTTGAGAGGGATAAAAAAAGATCTTGATTGTTACAAGGTTTGGAGAAGGCTATCTCCCTTTCAAATATTTGGGAGTTCCCCTTTCAAGCATAAAACTGAGTACTAATTAATGCCAACCATTGATTGATAAAATTATGGCCAGAATCAACCATTGGATAGTAAATATGTTGAGTTACTCTGGTAGAAGTCAACTGGTCAAAAGTGTCATTTTTTCTGTAACAGCTTACTAGAATCAAATGTTCCCTCTTCCTAAAAAAATCATACACAAACTGGAGGCAATCTATAGAATGTTCCTTTGGAGTCGGAAAAGTGAAGGGAGTAGGAAAGCTCCAATAGCTTGGATAAAGTGTGTGGACAAATGTTGGTGGTCTTAATATTATTTCTCTCCAAGATTGGTGTCAAACTTCTATGATTAAGCTCTTATGGAATCTTCAAGCTAAGAAAGATAAGTTATGGGTAAAGTGGTTGGATGCATACTACATAAAAGGAAAAGATATCATGCAATGAACTGTACCTGTAGATTGCTCCTGGATTTTGAAACAGATTATGAAAAGTAGAGCCTTGGTTGTTACTGACCAAAATTGGGATAATTATCTTCTGCAGGAAAAGTTTCATACCAGAGGGAGATACCAATTAATTACAGGTGAGCGGCTGCAGGTTGATTGGAGGATTGTTTTCTTCCATAAAAATTCCTGATCTCGTGCTCAATTTCACTCGTGGATTGTCTTCATGGGAAGAATTCTCACTAAAGATAAGCTTACAAAGTTTGGGATTTTCATTGATAAAAACGGTTGTTTCTGCCCAACTGATGAAACAATATACCATCTCTATTTTGATTGCGGGAAAACAAAGTTGATATGGGGAGATATATTGCAATGGATTGGCTATAAAAGGAACTCGCAGCATTTGAGTTATGAGAAGGGTTGGATTATTATAGAAACTGGAAAAAAAAGGGTTGGCAAAGACTTTTTCTAAAAGCTGCGTTTGCAGAAACTTGCTATATGATATGGAAAGCTAGAAATGACCACATATTCAATAATAAGCAGATTGTTGATGATTTGGTTAGATAGATAAAATTCATAATAGCTATAAGGTGTAGCATAAAGAAGAGACTTAGGCATCATATAGATGTTGATAATTTGATTATTAAGTAATGTGGAACCTGGATCCTATGGATCAACTTTGTACTTAATATTTTTGTGGAATAATAAAGTTATTTATTCTCCAAAAAAAAATTGTCACTTTCCCATAAAATTTCTTCAAAAATAACCATCAATTTACTTTTATATAAATTCATCTCATTAGGATTTGTCCACACAATTTTCTTTGTGCAAATTTATTCTTCATTACTTCCTTTTATGACATTTTTATTATTTGTTATTATGTTTTTTTGTAGGTACAGAATTTAAACTATCCTAAAATGTATTTTTTGGTAAAGAAACTATTGAAGATGTTAAAATTAATATAGACAGATGTGGTATATATTTTAATATTTAGGAACAATATTGTAATTTATTATTATAATTTGTGTTGATATTTATTTGTTTAGTTTAATTTAATTTTAATTAATATTACCATTTTCTCTCTTTAATTTCTGGTGTATTTTTGTTTTTTTGTAAAATAATATTGAATTGATTGTTCACATAACATATGCGATTATGGTATGTAGAGTAATTTTCTTATAAATTATTTTAATAATTATGTGGTTGGTTTTAAAAGGGTTTAAAAAATTGTGATGCGTAATTTTCCATATCCATTTTTTTTTAAATTGGGATATGTTTAGAAGATAATGTATCATTGATGTCGCTATTGATGTGTCATCTTTCGCTTTTATTTTTATTGATATATTTCCTTTATAAAATTCTTCTTTTATTTTTGAATTTTATTTTATACTTGTGTTTTTGTTTTTATTTTTTTATGGTATAATTATGTCATGAGTGAAAGAGTGTACAAACACCATTTTAAATTTTGTATAATAAATTCTTTCATAGGATCTCTAAAACTTAACATCAAAGTATATGATTTAAAGTTTTAAAATATTCTTAGAAAACAAATTCTTTTACTTTTAAAAAGAAAAAATATAAATTAACTTCCATATACAAGACAATATAAGAAGAAAAAAAAGATAAGTTCAATTGAATCGACATTAATTATATAGTTATGTTGACAAGTCTTTAAAATAATAATTTCTCCAAAAGAATCTCCAAAACTTAACAACTAAGTATACGAGTTAAAATTTTAAATTATTTTAATAATAGTAGATGTTTAAATTAAAACATACTCTATAAAATTTATATATTATGACAAGATTAATTTTGGAGCCAAAACTAATGTTAATTTATTAATTATCAAATTTATTTTACTTTTGATTTAAAAAATATTAATCCACTAACTCCATTATCTCTTTATCATTTTTAATTAATTATTATATTATTTAGTACTCCAAATATTATCATAATTAATTTAAAATGATAAAGAGATATAATTGAGTTAGTGGGCTAATATTTTTCAAATCAAAATGAAAATAAATTAATATTGATAATTACTAAATTAACCTTAGTTTTGGCTCCAAAATTAATCGTGATATATAGAGTAATTTTTTTATAAGTTATTTTAGTACTTATGTGATTGATTAATTTTTTTATAAGTTATTTTAGTACTTATGTGATTGATTTTAAATGGGTTTAAAAAATTGTGATGTGTAATTTTCCATATCTATATTTTTAAATTGGAATATGTTTAGGAGATGATGTATTACTGATATCGTTATTGATGTGTCGTCTTTCACATTCATTTTTGTTGATATATTTCTTTTTATAAAGTTCTTCTTTTATTTTTGAATTTTATTTAATACTTATATTTTATTTTTGTTTTTGTTTTTTTATGATATAATCATGTCATGAATGAAAGATTGTACAAATATCATTTTAAATTTTGTATAATAAACTTAACAACAAAGTGTATGACTTAAAGTTTTAAAATATTCTTAGAAAATAAATTCTTTCACTTTATATATATATATATATATATATATATATATATATATATATATATATATATATATATATATATATATATATATATATATATATATATATATATATATATATATATATATATATATATATATATATATATATATATATATATATATATATATATATATATATAAACTTCTATATATAAGAGAACATAATAAAATAAAAAGTTTAATTGAATCGATATTAATGATAATAATTATGTTGACAAGTCTTTAAAATAATAATTTTTCTAAAAAATCTTCAAAAATTAACAACTAAGTATATGAATTAAAGTTTTAAATTATTTTAATAATAATGTACGTTTAAATTAAAACACACTCTATAAAATTTATATATTATGATAAGATTGTGCCCTATTATTATATAAATAATATTTTATTTTTATTCTATGATCATATTTTTATTTATTTTTTCTTTTATATTTATTTCTCTTAGATTCAATTCATTAGCACCAAAATCATCTCTCAATCAAGTCTTAGATATGGATAATGTTATTATTATTAATTTTATACTGTCAATGATATATTTTATTAATTCTCTATAAATTCTCTCAATAGTTTTCAATATAAATTCTCTATATATACACACACTATTTTTTTTAGACATATTGTTAAATTTTTCTCTTTTATATTTATTTTTAATTAATAAATATGTTATACTAAAATTTGTTTACACATATAATTAAATTAATTAATACACATATTATTATAATAATTATAGTGAGATTATTAATTTTCCTTGCATCAATTTAAGAGTTTACGGTTTGCCATTTGCCCCATTTCTAAATCTGATTGTGTTCTTTATCCATTCCCTCAAAACTATGTTCGGAGCAAGTGAGTGAAACTCGTGGACCCCACACCACCTTCTTCTTCCTCCCGCAAACGGTTTCCGAAAAACCCAAAAACCCTAAACTCCACGATCTTCAATTCAATCTTCAATGGCCTCTTCCTCCCTTCTTAATCATTCCCCCCAATTTAGCCTCTAAATCCCTAGGGCACATCTCTCAATTTCTCGATTTTCTTCTTTTTCTTGAATTCACTCACTGAAACCCCTCATGGATGCATCTGTGGAGCCAGAATCGGAATCCACAACCATTTTGCTTGATCAGGAAATGGCAACAGTGAATGGTTGCATTGTTTACACTCGAGTCAAAAGATCTCTCAATCTGTGTATTAGTATTTCTGAGGATGTTGATTGCAAGAAATTCAGGGAAGATGCGGAGGTGCCGATTGAATTGGATAATGGAGTCGGTGAGTGCGGTGATGAGACTACGTTCAAGCGGATTACAAGAACTGCTATGAAAGTGAAAGCTGAGAATTTCAAGCGGATTACACGATCTGCTATGAAAGTGAAAATTGAGTCTGGTGGGAAGAAGGTGTCTGCGTTAGAATACATAGGTGTTGTCGTTGTAAGTGGTAAAGGCGTTGGTGTGGTGCCAGTGAGAAATTTGAAGCGGTTTTCACGTTCGACTATGAAAGAAAAGGTTGAATCCTGTGAAGATAAGGTGACTGTGGTAGAATAACAAGGTGTTGTAGTTGTTAGTGGCAAGAGAAGTGGTGTGGTGCCAGTGAAAAATTCGAAGCGGTATACACGATCAGCGTTGAAAGAAAAGGGTGATTCCTGTGAAGAGAATGTGATTGTGGTAGAACAACAAGGTGCTGCAGTTGTAAGTGCTAAAGGTGATGGTTCGATACCAGTGAAAAATTTGAAGTTGTTTACACGATCAACAATGAAAGAAAAGGGGGAGTTCTGTGAAGAGACGGGGAATGTGGTAGAACAACAATGTGCTGCAGTTATAAGTGTTAAGCGAATTAGAAGATCGGCGGTGAAAGGTGAAAGTGACAGTTGAATCCGGTGAGGAGACAGTGAATGAGTTAGCACATCAGGGTGTTGTTGTTGCTAATGGTGAAAGTTCAGTGAGGATGTTCAACCGGATTACACGATCAGCTTCCATGAAAGGTAACTCTTCTCAAAAGACTCCAAAATCTGCTAAAAAGAAAGATAATTCTTCTTTTATTTCTGTTGTAGAATCAATAGTTTTTCCAACATCTGAAACACCCTCCTCTCTAAAACCAGTAGAAGATCCCTCACCTCAAACATTAGAACATTTTGACATAGAGTTTGACCCCTCAGTAACTTTAGAAAACATACTAAACAAACCTCTCTCTCCCAATCTACATCTTGAACAAAATCATCCAGAACTTCCTAGAGTTCTTTCTGATATTGATCAATTTGATCCAGATTTTCAAACTCATAACCCTGGAAATCCAAACTTTCAAACTCCTCAAACAGAAAATCCAAACTTCCAAACCTCTAACCCTGAAAATCGAAACGCTACCGCTTCCTAACCAGAAAATTCATACACAGACTCTGATACCACCACACCAATTCCTGGAATAACAGAACCTCTCATGGTTCGACAACCTCTCTCCATCCAAGACATTCCAAAAATTCCATCACCTTACCATTCCACTCCACCAAACACACCTCCATCACCAATCATCATTTTTGATTCGCCTACTCCCTCTATTATTAATCCTCCAGAAAATCACCTTAGAACATTCATAGACTTAGAAGCGCTGGATCACTTTGCCTCAACCTCTCACAAAATTGTCATTCCCAAACCAAAACCAACTATCATCAAAGCAGATGTTGGGAGAAATTTATTGATTTTTGAAACATAAATAATGGAATGGGTTAACTCTTTGAAGCAAGCAAGCTTAGAAAATCCAAATCTTGCTACTTCTGATTCTCACTGGAATCAGTTCAGAAGATGGTTCAACTCAAAATACCATAAACTCAAAGAATTAAGCTATGAATTGGCCCAACAAAACTTTTGTGATCAGCTGAAAGTTTTCAAGGATCGAGTTCTGAGTCACTAGGAAAGGAAATCGATTCTTCTGCTGGACAATGCTCCCTGGAAAGAGCACCAACCTTCAGAAGATATTGAACCATGCTCTGAAAATATTTCTCTAGCTATTATTCAAGACAAAGGCAAAGCAACTGAAGAAGCCGCTGAATCAGAAACTGCTAAAGAGTGTTCTGAGAAACTTGCATCTTCTGTGGATACACCCGCTTCATCTTTGGTTATGCAAACTCAGGAAGAATTAAAGAAAGAGAATGCAATGATCAAAAAAGATTGGACAAGCAAGAAGACACGAGCAAAGAAATCAAGGAAATGCTGGGAAAACAAGAGGAATCAAACACTCAGATTAAGAGCTTGCTGGAAGCGTTGTTCACACGACTTCCCCCTCCTCAATCTTAGTTTTTTTATAACTTGTTTTCTGCATTCATTTATCTTGTTTTATTTGGCTCTGAAAGTGTTATTTAAATCAAGTTTAATATAACTAATCTTTTTTACTCTGAATATTAGTATTTATATTTCTTTTTGATTCCTGACAAAAAGAGGGAGAACTTAATATATTTTCAATAATAGTATATCGAGACAAAGTCTCAAACATCTTGAATATCATAACTTCTCGTTTTTTTTTCTTCTGAAAGCAAAACAGGAACAAAACTCTGATGAAGATAGAAGGAGACGCATCAAAAGCCCTGGTTAGAATGAACTTCATGGAAGTAATTCATCTCTATCTGAGTACTCAACTCAGGGGGAGACTCTCTAATGCTTTATGTTCTGTCTATTTTAATTGAAATATCATAGTTTTTGTCATCATCAAAAATGGGGAGATTGTTAGAACATAGTTTGATTCTATAATCCTCATAAGAGTTTTGATGATAACAAACATAAAGAACAATTATGCACTCTAAAATTATATTCTGCTTTGTAGAGAAGTTCTGATGGAAGTATATCAGAAGTTAAGTTATAAGGATGTTCCTTCTGTGAACGTAGACTATTTTCAGAAAGTTCTGATGAATGAAGATCAAAAGTTACACTAAGAGAAAGACGTTTTAACTCTAAAAGAAAGTCTAACGCTGAAAACAGGACCTTATGATTCTGACCTTCCAAAGTTCTGAAGCAAGCAGCAAACAGATTCCTTAATGGTCTGAAGCGTTACAATTCATCAAAGCAATATCAAATGCAACGGCTACAAACAGACAAGGATCTTTTATTTAAGGAAAGCGCATTAACTGTCATTTATCAAGTTTCCAATTACTCAAGATTGTTGCGCCTATTTAAATAACGGATGAGGATAAATCATTCACGATTTACACTACAATTCACAACCTCAACACTGTTACTCCTCATTCATACTACTCTAAAAACGGTGTAATACATCACAAGTCTATGATACCGTTTTTGTAACGAAAAACATATTGTGCACTGCTTTATTCATATTTTTTTTAGTGCAATTTCTTGAGATAAACCGGGTTGTGGTTATACTCAAGAAGACTTTGGAAGTAGTCAAAGTAGTTGTATAATCAAGTTTGATTAGTGAATTAAGTCTTCGTTTGAGAAAGGCGAAATCACCTTGGCGGGTGGACTGGAGTAGTTTGAGTTCAAACGAACCAGGATAAAAATCATCGTGTTATTTGCATTAATTTTTAAGATTCCAATTCAACTCCCCCTTCTTGTGTTTTTCGATTCTTCATAATAGACTCGTGTATGTGATGCAAATGAACCCAAACTTCAATCACCATGCCAAATGTGAAAGGTTGCAGCTTACCAACCTTACGTTTGCAGATGATGTTCTGCTTCTGTGCAGAGGGGATACTACCTCTATTCAGCTCATCCTAGCAGATTTCAGCAATTTTACTCGTTCAACTGGGCTTGTGATCAACCCAAATAAATGTAAGATTTATTTTGGGAGTTTGGATATGACCAGCAGGAACACTCTTCATGAGCTGACATATTTTTAAGAAGGTACTCTCCCTTTTAATTACTTAGGGGTTCCCATCACTAGAAAGAAATTGAATATCCACCATTACATGCCTCTGATAGAGAAAATAGTCGCGAGAATTCATCACTGGTCCTCTAAACTCCTCAGCTATGCTGGAAGAATCCAATTGGTTAAAAGCATTGCTTGTGCTATTGCGCAATAATGGATGTACGGTATGCCAATTCCAAAATTTGTCATTAAGAAGATCAACGCAATCTGCAGAAGTTTCATTTGGTCTGGAACAGATAGAGTTAGCAAGAAACGCCCAGTGGCCTGACAGAAGATGTGTAAACCTATAAATCAGGGGGGCCTGCAAATGTTGAACCTGGAGCTTTGGAACGATATCCTGTTGTTGAAGTGCTTATGGAACTTATGCAGAAAAGTAGATAATTTGTGGGTTCGTTGGATTCATACATACTATATTAAAGGTAATGAGGCGATGACCTGTATTATCAAACCTCACCATTCTTGGATATTCAAAGGTATAATGAAGCAAAGAGAAAAAACTGTCAAAGTGCAACAATTATGGGAGCAGACTTTGAAGAACAAAAAATTCAAGGCCTCTGAAGTCTACAAGGATCTTATTAACGATGGGAGCAAAGTTACTTGGAGAAAGCTTCTGAAGCATAACCTGGCTAGGCCTCATGCAGTCCACTGCCTTTGGATGTGTGATACAGTGGGAGAACTGACTTGGGATGTTTGTGTTTTATCGCAAATGTTGCAGTTAGCAAGAGTCACCATCGACTTTTCTTTTATCCAAAAGGAAAGGCTGAAAAGAACAAGAAAGACCTTTGAGATTGTTTCTTGAGCTCGAGGGGTAGATTATGAAAAGGGAATGTGTTAGCACCCTTTCATCCATAGTTATTTATGGATTCTTAGTTGCTTGCTAGATCACTTGCTTTTGTTTGAAAATGTGCTTTGTGGTGATTTTGAAAGTATTTTGAAAAGGCGCCTTCGTTTAGGCAAACTTTGTAATGGTTCTCGTTCGTAAGAGCGTATACAAAGTGTTGGACTTTTGAAAATGTTTCATGTTTGGAAAATGTTTTTAAAAGTGTTTTTGAAAGTGTTTGGTGTTTGTTTTGAAAATAAGCAAGGATGTTTGTTTTGAAAATGAGCAAGCAACTAGGAACAATCTACCTACTCAAAAGTCTTTGTTCATTTCTTCCTTTCCTTTGATATTGCTATCTTACCGTTGATTGGTAAGAAGCCTTATCTTTAGATGTAAAGGGACGGGCGTGGGTCATTGTATAGTCATGATAGCAATGTTGTAAGATGTCTTAACATTTCTCTTTGAGGGACTAAGATCATTTTGAAAGGCAACACTTTGTAGCGTCATCGAGGGATTATGATCTTGTATTTTTATTGCTTTTTGTTAAGACATCTCACATGCATAACATGACCATTTTTGTAAGGCAACAAAATGGAGTTACCCTAAGGGTGCAAGTGTGCAAATGTGTTTGATTTACATGTATTGTTTATCTTGAATTAGGGTTTACTAATTGTTGATTTTATCTTTCCATACAAACCCTAATTACTAACATTTATATAAAGCGATAAATTACGGAGACTAAAATTACTACGCTATTACATTATTAGGAGAGGGGGTATACAAATTTACAAATGGGGATTTGCAAGAAAATTAAACCTAATTATCTATTACAACCATATTGAATAATATACAAGAATTGAAAAGAAAATAATGCAAGAATGTAAATGGAAAAAGAAATGATTTTTATTTGGTTTTGATGAAAGGGTTTAGCCTTGACCTAATTAAGAAAAAAATTAATTAAAATTAAACAAAATTAAACTTAAACTAAATAAGAAAGAAATTAAGTATGAAACATTTTAAGGGTTTTCTGTGAAATGTTTTCAGTTAAATAATAATAATATGAAATTAATTAATTAAAAGAAACCTAAATTCTAAATTAATTTTAATGAAAAAAGAAATAAATAATTAAACCTAAATCTAATTATTAATTATTAAAAAAAGAAATTTAATTTGTTAAGAAAATGTTTTTGTCTTTTGTATTTATAAAGAAAAATAAACATATAAATGTGAAAATAATAAATAAAAATATTTTTGGATTTTTTTATTAATAAAAATAATAACAATAATAATAGTAATAATAAAAATATAATAAGGAAAAATGAAACAAAATAAAATAAGAAAAAGAAAATAAAATGAATTAAAATGATAAAAGAAAAAAATATTTGGGCCAGGTGCAAAAGTAAATGGCAGGGGTTAGAAGAAGCAAAAAAAACAAAGCCCAGAGATGGAGGCCCAGACTCTGCTATTTGAAACAAAAAAGGAGGGAAAATGTGAGAAAAATGCACAAAAGATAGCGCTGGGACTTGAACCCCTGACCCTCGGCATACACGCGCTACCTTTGCCACTGGGGTGGCTGTGCATCTGGTAACATAAATAAAATAACAAATATATAACACAAGTCAAGTCATGAAGATGACTTCATCTTCAACCTCCAGCCTGAACATCTGTAACTTCACTATTT